ACTTTGATGTCTCCCGGACGCCGCCTTCACCGTGACCTTTTTATTTTCTATTTTCCGCTTTTTTTAAAAATTTGGCCTCATTCCCTCCGTCCCGTCCCACAGCTGGAAAAATGGGCTCCCCACGACCTTCCCCCCCCACTCCTGGCTTCCAGCGGAACTCTTTTATTTCGCCATCCTGTCCCCAAAATCCCTGCCAGCTCGGGGAGGGGGACACACACCAATACGCTGGAAATACTACAGTCTTGAATTCAATTAGTATATGATTCCTTACAAGACACTGCATTCACCTGTTTACAGATCTTTTCTTGCAGCCTTCAATCTGGAGGAATCAGAATTTTTTTAAAACCTGTGATCAGTTAAAGGATGAGAAGGTCTGACAAGAGGATTTTGGGTTTGGTTTTGTTTTCCTTTTTAACAGTAGATCTATTAATTCATTAGCATAATGATAGTTCTCTGATTCAATACTTGTATTCCAGAAAAGGAAGGAGGGTTGATCTGCACATTCGCTTGGCTATGTAGGTAAATGGAGTTCTGGCTGGTCTTCCACCACCATCTGCTCAAGTGCTTCTGTATGTCTGTGTCTCCAAGAATCTTTTTTTTCTTTTTCTTTCCCTCCCCCCCCCCCCCCCCCCCCACCGTCCTGCCCGCTGTCCCCTGGTCACAGCGTGGTGTCCCCCCGCCTTGTCCCCGTCCCGGTGGCCGCTGCTTCACCCCGGACCCTGCTGAGGCCTCGAAGCCGCCAGCGGTGGGGGACGGGGGGTGTTGCCGTCCCCGTGGCCCCCTCCCCGAGCCGTCCCCACACTTCCTTTCATCCCAGTCCTGTGTCCCACCGGCTGCGGCGTCGGCACCCGCCGAGGGGACCGGACCCCGCCGTGACTCAGTTTCCCCTCCTGACCCACAGAGGGGACACTTGGGGACACAAGACATCCATCCACCCATCCCTGTGCCTCAGTGTCCCTTCCTGACCCACAGAAGTGGTGGCACTTGGGGACCCACAGAGTGTGTCTAACCACCCCTGTGCCTCAGTTTCTCCTCCTGACCCACAGAGGTGGCACTTGGGGACACAGAGCATGTGTCCACCCACCCTGTGCCTCAGTTTCCCCTTCTGTCCCACAGAGGTGGTGGCACTTGGGGACACCTGGGGACACAGCGTGTCCCCCCATCCTTGTGCCTCAGTTTCCCCTCCTGAGCCACAGAGGGGACACTTGGGGACCCAGAGAGTGTGTCCACCCACCCCTGTCCCTCAGTTTCCCCTCCTGACCCACAGAGGGGACACTTGGGGACACTTGGGGACCCAGAGCATGTCCCCCCCAGCTTATGCCTCAGTTTCCCCTCTCCGTTTGCCCCCGGGGAGGGGACAAACTGGGGGTTTCTCAGCCACTTTGTCCCCCTCCTCCTGCCCACCCCGCCACCTGGTGCCCCCCTCCTGCCCCATG